TGGCCACAGGACTGGAAAAGGTCAGTTTTAATTCCAACTGCAAAGAAAGGTATTGCCAAAGAATGTTCAAACTACACAATTGTGCACCACATTCAAAGCAAAATTGCACTCATTTCACATGCCAGCAAGGTAATTCTCAAAATCTGTCAAGCTAGGCTTCAGCAGTACATGAACTGAGAACTTTCAGATGTACAAGATGGATTTAGAAAAGGCAGAGGAACCAGAGATCAAATTGCCAACATCTGTTGGATCATAGAGAAAGCAAGGGAATCCCCAAAAATCTACTTCTGCTTCACTGATGACACTAAAGCCTTTGACTGTGTGGATCACAACAAACTATGGAAAATTCTTAAAGAGAATCTGGAATACCAGACCACCTTAGCTGCCTCCTGAGAAACCTGTATACAGGTTGAAAACAGTAGTTAGAACCGGACATGGAACAATTTTGAAGTGGTTCAAAATTGGGAAAGGAGTATGTCAAGGCTGTATATTGTCACCTTGCTTATTCAATCTATATACAGAGTACATCATACTATATGCTGAGCTGGATGAAGCACAAGCTGGAATCAAGATTGCCAGAAGAAATATAAATAACCTCAGATATGCAGGTGACAACATCATAATGGCAGAAAGTGAAGAGGAACTAAAGAGCTTCCTAATGAAGGTGAAAGAGGAGAGTGAAAAAACTGGCTTAAAACTCAACATTCAGAAAATGAAGATCCTGATATCTGGTCCCATCACTTCATGGCAAATAGATGGGGAAAGAATGGAAACAGTGACAGGTTTTACTTTCTTGGGCTCCAAAATCACTACAGATGGTGACTACAGCCATGATATTAAAAGATGCTTGCTCCTTGGATGAAAAGCAATAACTAACCTGGACAGCATATTAAAAAGCAGAGAAATTCCTTTGCTGACAAAGGTCCATCTAGTCAAAGCTATGGTTTTTCCAGTAGTCATGTACAGACGTGAGAGTTGAACCATAATGAAGGCTAAGCACTGAAGAATTGATGCTTTTGAACTGTGGTATTGGAGAAGACTCTTGAGAGTCCCTTGGACATCAAGATCAAACTAGTCAATCCTAAAGGAAATCAACACTGAATATTCATTGGAAAGACTGATGGTGAAGCTGCAGCTCCAATCCTTTGCAACCTGATGCGAAGAGCTGACTCATTGCAAAAGACCTTGATGCTATGAAAGATTGAGGGCAGAAGGAAAAAGGGGTGACAGAAGATGAGATGGTGGGATGGCATCATCTACTCAATAGACATGAGTTTAAGCAAACTCCAGGTGATAGTGAAGGACAGGGAAGCCTGGCATGCTGCAGTCCACGTGGTCGTAAAGAGTCAGATACGACTGAACAATGGAACAATTATGTTTGTAGAAAATTCCAAAGAATCTATAAACAAGCTACTGGAGAAAGTCAGTTTAGCAAGATTACAGGATATAAGGTCAATATATAAAAACCAGTTGCATATTCATGTTCTAGTAATAAACAATTGGGAAATGAAGGTTAAAAAGTACTATTTACAATACTACAGTGAAGATATCATATCTCCTATGTTTTTTGCTATTACATGAACTTTTCCTCTGTGTTAATGTCTCTCCATCTACTTCCACACATTTGTTGAACTCCTATAATTCTTTCCAGTCTCTGTTCAGGGTTAATCAATCTTTTAAAGCATTTTTTCTTACCCTTTAAAGTACTTTTTCAACTTTATCAGCAAATTCTCTTCTTAAAAAGAAAAAACAAAAATTAACACAGATATCAAACATATAGAACTAATAAAAGTGGAGCTTTCTTACTGAAATGAGTACAGAGTAAACTCAAAAGTCATAACTTCCTAAAAAAGCTCCTAAGCACAGACTGAAACTCATTAAGATTTTTAAGCACCCAAAGATTTGAGAGTTGCTACTATAGCCAACATCTTAAAAAGTGAAATCTTTCTCCAGCTTTATAGAAAATAAGATCAGCATATACAAATTCTTTCACCTCCAAGTCAAACAGAAACTTATTTGCATTCCTTTCTGTAGGATTCCTCTCCAGTCTGAGTTGAATTCTTCCAGCTATGCTCTCATTCTCTCATATCTCAGAAAATCTGTTCCAGTGACCTTTTTAATTCACTCTCAACATGTACATACACTGTTGCCTCAATTATTAATACAGAAATATTGTCATTTTCTTCCATTGAAATACAAACTTCTTCTTTTTCCCTTTTTTTAAACTTCCTGAAGTTCACACCTTCCATCTAACCTAGAATAATCTGGTTTCTGTTAACCCTGATTAACAGAAATTGTTCTTGCCAAGGTCTTCAACATGCTAGCTACTGATTCAAATTTATTCTCTTTTATGTGATTTGTGGCACCCAACACTACTGAGATCCAGTTCTCCTTTGGGTTCACTGACTTCACTCCTTCAGCTTTTCTACCTCTGGGGCCATTCCTTTTCATATTAAATTACTTTTCCTCCACCAGCTCCTTATTTATTGATATTTTTGTGGGTTTTATCTATGACCCCTGCTCCCCATTCTAATCTATACACTATGCTGGACAAGTTCACACATGATGGTTTTGACTACCAATTCTGTATTTTACTCTGAATTCTAGTCTTCTGGGTCTAGATTTCTAGGCTTGTCTGTTCAGCTGTCTTCAACCTTCTAAACTCAGTCTCTACACCTTATTGCTAGACCCACTTCCCTTATATAAAATCTTTCATTGATATAAATTTCTGAATCAATTTCAAATGTTTTAGGATGGCAAGTAAGACCTCTGGTTCTGCCATTTCTCAAGCTTCAACCTGTCATTCTCACCATTTAACAGATGTTCTACAAATGTGTCATGCTCTCACCCACCTTTATATTTGCTTATGTGGCTTCCTTTCCTTGAAGTACTCATCTCACTCCCTGGAGAATTCTTATTATTCTTCCAAAGCTAGGCTCAGACTTCACTGTCCCTAGTCCTTTCAGACTCCTTATACATCCAGCACAAAAACACAGCATTTGTGTTCTATAACATAGTATCATTGTAACATCTGTTTCCCTGTGCAAACTACTTTAACACATTGTAATCTGCTTACTCATTTGTTCTTCTCTTCAACTCCATCTTTTTGCCTGTCAAATCATGACTTCCTGAAGGCCTATTCCTTTTCTCTTGTATAAGTTCCAGTGCCTAGAATAATAGCTGGCTCACACTTGGGGTTAAGCATTTACTGAGCAAACTGTTTTTTAAAGGCTTAGAAATTTTCCCCTTTTATTTTCCTTTGGAGTCTGAGATTTTTAAAAACCAGAAAATCTTAAGTGGGGAAAACATGCTTTTATTTCGTGAAATTGATTCCTTTTTAAGACTGCCACAAGTTCTTAGGACTTCTGCAGCAAACTAAAAAAAAAAAAAAAAGCTTTAAAGTGATTATCTAATCAAACTATATTTTTCCTACTTAAGTTAGCATGCTGTACAGAACAGAACAAATAAAGTTATATGATAAATATGACTTCAATGCAACAAAGAAAAATAATGCTGAAACAAAATTAGAAACTGTGTAAAAATTTTGGGACACTCTTAGGTGCAGTTTGGAAGTAACAAGAAAAATAAAGGAGGAAGAGAAAGTTATGACCAACCTAGAAAGCATATTGAAAAGCAGAGACATCACTTTGTCAACAAAGGTCCATCTAGTCAAGGCGATGCTTTTTCCAGTGGTCATGTATGGATATAAGAGTTGGACTATAAAGAAAGCTGAGTGCTGAAGAAGTGATGCTTTTGAACTGTGGTGACTGAGAAGACTCTTGAGAGTCCCTTGGACTGCAAGGAGACCTAACCAGTCCATCCTAAAGGAAATCAGTCCTGAATATTCATTGGAAGGATTGATGCTGAAGCTGAAACTCCAATACTTTGGCCATCTGATGAGAAGAGCTGACTCATTTGAAAAGACTCTGATGTTGGGAAAGATTGAGGGCAGGAGGAGAAGGGGACGACAGAGGATGAGATGGTTGGATGGCATCACTGACTCAATGGACATGGGTTTGGGTGGACTCCAGGAGTTGGTGATGGACAGGGAGCCCTGGCGTGCTGCAGTTTCATGGGGTTGCAAAGAGTCAGACACGACTGAGCAACTGAACTGAACTGAACAGAGAGTGGGTTTTTTGGCCTCTTTTTTGATGAAAACCATGCACCAAGTTTGACAGCAGTTTAGGAAAAGTAAGTTGCAGAAGCTGAGGTAGTTTGCAGTTTATTTTTATCTATTTGGTCCTTTGCTCTAAAAATGCATATATTTTAAGATTTTGTTTGTTATTAAAATGTTAGTTGTAAGAGACATGGTATTAAGCTTATGCAGTTGGTGAGTTTCTAATGAGAAATTCAGCACCTTTACACACAGATTTTTTTCTGTTTACATGTTGCATATAGTGTATAACACTGTATAAAGAGACAGAAAAACCTCACATTTATCTTACAAATGGCCAAAATCAGTATTTTGAATTGTGATTTATTTGTCTCAGGATATTTAAAAAAGTGACTGACAGGTATTAAAGTATTCCACATATTTATTACACAGTCAAAGCTTTTCCTTAAAATTAAATAACTGATAAGGACTAGATTAAAATTGAAGTTTTATTGTATTCATTACATTTACTAAGTCATTCTCAAGTGTGTATACAGTTGTCCCACACTATCTGTAGTGGACTGATTCCAGGACACCCCCCCCCGCAACAGATACCAAAATCTGAAGATGATCAAGTCCCTTATGTAAAATGGCATAGAATTTGCATGTAACCTATGCGCATCCTCTCATAAACTTTAAATCATCTCTAAATTACTTGAAATACCTAATACAGTGCAAATGCTTATGAAAATAGTTGCCAGTGTGTGGCAAATTCAAATTTTGTTTTTGGATATTTCTGAAAATTATTTTTTTAATATTTTAAATTTGCAGTTATTTGAACCAGTGGATGTAGAACCCACAGATATGTGGGATCAATTGTATTCTAATGACCTTTGGTTTAAGGGTTTCACACATGCAAATCTACTTTGAAGGGGTCCTCTTCAATGTGAATTTTATAATGGTTCGTAAGGGACGACCTCTGGCTGAAGAGTTTCCCACATGCATTACATTCATAGGGTTTCTCTCCAGTATGAATTCTTTGATGTGCAATAAGTGATGAGCTCTGCCTAAAAGTTTTCCCACAGGTAATACACACAAAGGGTTTTTCTCCTGTATGAATCCTTTGATGTTGAAGAAGAGCTGCACTTTGCCCAAAAGATATCCCACATTCCAGACATCGATATGGTTTCTCTCCTGTGTGAATTCTGTGATGATTACTAAGGGATGAATTACACCTGAATGTTTTCCCACACTCATTACATTTATAGGGTCTTTCTCCAGTGTGCATTCTCTGATGTTGAATGAGAGCAGAACTTTGTCTGAAGGCTTTCCCACACACTTTACATTTACATGGTTTCTCTCCAGTATGAATTCGCTGATGAATAATGAGTGTTGAGTGGGAACTTAAGGCTTTACCACACTCATTACAATTATACAATTTCTCTCCAGTATGAATTATTCTATGCCTATTAAGTCGTGAAATAGAAGTGAAACCTTTTTCACATTCATTACATCTGTAAGGCTTTTCTCCGGTGTGAATTCTTTCATGTTGAATAAGAGATGCGCTCTGACTGAAGGCTCTCCCACATTCACCACATTTAAAAGGTTTCTCTCCTGTGTGAATTCTCTGGTGGTAACGAAGGGATGAACTAGACTTAAAGGTGTTGCCACATTCGTTACATAAATAGGACTTCTTTCTTGAATGAATTCTCTGACATCCAGGAAGGTTGCAAGTGGCTGCCTTCCTTCCTGGGTTATATTTGTGGGGATTGTCTTGAGCATGAATTTTTTGATGTATAAAAAGGGCAGACCTTCTGCTAAAGGATTTACCACATTCTTTACATCTGTAGGATTTTTCCACAGTATGTATTTTTACGTGTTTATAAAGGGATGCACTATGGCTGAAGGCTTTCCCACACTCTTTACATATATAGGGTTTCTCTCCAGTATGAGTTCTTTGATGTTGAATAAGAGCTGAACTTTGGCTGAAGGCTTTCAAACATTCATCACATTGAAATAATTTCTCTCCAGAATGGTTTTTCTGATGTTTACGAAGGGATGACTTGTGAATGAAGGCTTTTTCACATATGTTACATTTATGGCGTTTTTCTGCTGTCTTTATTTTCGACTGGTTAAGTACATTTGAATCCTGCCTGAAGCTATTCCTTTGTATTTCGTATTTTGAGGGTGTTTTTTCTCTAGCACTCCTCTGTTGCTTAACAAACACTGATTTCAGGCTGAAATTTTGGCCAAAGTCATTATTTTTATGGCTTCTTTCTGCAGTGAGGATTTTTGTATGGGTGACTGAAATTATTTGTAAACTTTCACTTTTGTCCTTCTGTTTCTTTATTCTGTCTTCATATATGCAGGGGTTTTCTGATATGAAATTCCATGGTTCATCCTTTTTGAGTGTTTTCCTTATTATCCCCGAAAATGATGAGTCTTGAGTTTGAGTTGCCTTTGTGGTTTTAGGACTGCTCTTACATTCTGAAAAAAATAAAAAAAGGAAGTGCCAATGATTCACATGATTAGCTGAGACTAAATGTATAGAAGGAATAAATATTAATGATATCTAAATAAGGCCTCACTTTCTGGATAAAAAAACTAGGAAGAGGAAAAAATAGGAAAGTAACACTGCATATATAAAACAATAACGAATGAGAGATGATGTATTAGGGTGAGTAAAATAAGGGATCATCATTTAAAGAAGGTGAGCATATACGCATGACCAGGAGAATGGAGAGAAGGGATCAGAGGAGAAGTATGAACTGGGAAATGCACTCTAGCACCCAAAGCATATGACAGGCTCATAAATTATCTCCATGACATCATTCTCATTTCTGTAATTATTTCTAATCTTGAATATCTTCCCTACTTTTCCTACATGTCAAACTTCTCTGTATCCTTCAGATTCAGTTCCAATGTTAGCTTGTCTATCACCCTTTCCTGACTCTGAGCCCCACCAATATATTCCCCTTATTATACCACATACCATAGTATACCATAATATGTATTTAAGGGAAAAAAATGAGTATATCTAGAGACAAGGAGAAAGCCTTAAAAAAGTTCAGCACCATTAATAATAAACACATGCACGAAAACAGGAATTGAGGGATACTTCTTCAACAAGCTAAAGTACATACACTTTAGTCCTAAAGTCAGTATCTTATTTAATGAAGAAACTAGAGACATTTCCATCACGATCAAGAACAAGGCAAGGATGTCAACTACCTTCACTTCTATTCAACATGGTACTAGATGTATTAACCAATACATGTATACAAGCAAAGTCTTTTGGCTTTGTGTATAAAGAGGCATAAGGATGAGTAAAGAGAACATTAAACTACTTCTATTTGCTGATGCTATTAATGCTACATCTAAAATTAAACCTCAGAGAATCAATGATAAAACTTGATCAGTGACATAGTAGGATATAAAATTAACATACTAAAATCAATAACCTTCATTTATACAAAAAATTTAGGGAAATAAATTCACAAGAAATATGAAAACTTATATGAAGAAAAATTTAAAACAGTCTTGAATGTCATTAAAGTATACCTGAACCAATAGCAAAACCTCTCCTATTCATGGATAAAACAATTAAATATTATAAAAATATAAAGATATTAAATTGCATATGTGTGTGTGTGTATAGATAGATAGATATTTTAAATCCAGCAGGATTTCTCAACTTCAGCTGACATTTTATGCTGGATAATTCTTTGTTTTTCAGTGATGGCCTGTGCAATAGTACCTACTCTATTCACCACTCCTACCCTCTCTTAAGTTGTAACACTCAAAAATATTTCAAGACACTGAAGCACTGAAATGATAAAATCACCCCTGGTAGAGAGCCAATGGTATGGATGAAATAAAAATGACAGTAAGTTAATAAATGTTGAAACTGGGTGATAGACACACAGGAATTCCTTATATTATTTTCTCTACTTTCATATATGTTTAAACTTTTCTATAGTAAAAGTAAAAATTAAATTTTCTTTTACTTTCTGTTAATTTCTTGCAAGAGGAGAGAGTAGGTTAATCTTTCCCCCCTTTATACCATGTCTAATCAGGGAGAAATTAGAAAATGTTTATACATGAATGAAAATGAAAACACAACTTACTAAAACTTATGGGGTGTAGTGAAAACAGTGCTAGGAAGAAAATTTAAAGAAGTACTTAAAAACATAATTTACTACTTAAGGAACCAGAAAAAACAAACTCAACCCAAAGCTAGCAGAAGGAAGGAAATAATAAAGGTAAGAGCCTAGCCACATAAAATAGAAAAACAATAGAGAAAAATCAACAAATCCAAAATCAGTTATGTGAAAATACCTAGAAAATTGATAAGCCTTTAGTGAGACTAAGAATAAAAGGGAAAAGACACACATTACTAAAATCAGAAATGTGAGTGGTGACATTACCACATATTAAAATAAAAAGGATTATAAGGAAAAACTATGGATAATTGTATGGCAAAAAACTGGAGAGCCTAGAAAATATGGACAAATTCATAGAAACAAAAAACCTACCCAAACTGAATTATGAAGTAGAAGATCTGAACAAATATAGATCTAGAAAAGCAACTGAGTCGGTAATCAAAACCTCCCAATAAAAATAATAATTACAAAAAACAGCTCTTACCAGATGGCTTTACTGCCTACCAAACATTAAAGAACTAACACCACTCCTTCTGAAATGCTTCCAAAAAACCAAAAGAGGCAGCAATACTTTCTAACTTATTCTATGAAGCCAGCATTGCCCTGATAATAAAATCAGACAAAAACCCTACAAGAAAAGAAAGCTAAAGACCAATATTCGTTACATATATTGATTTAAAAATCCTCAATAAAGTACTAGAAAAGAGAATTCAGCACATTTAAATGATTATATGCCATGACCAAATGAAATTTATCCCTGGCATGCAAGAATGATTTAACATATGAAAACCAACTAAAGCAACACATCACATTAATAGAATGAAGACACAAAACCACACAATCACCTCATGTGATGTAGAAAAATGCACCTAACAAAACTCAAAATTCAACACCTTTTCGTTAAAGAACAAAACTGGGACTAGAGGGAAACTACCCCAACACAATAAACACTATCCTTAAAGAACCCACAATTAACCTCATATTCAATGGAAAAAGACTGTAATCTTTTCCTCTGAGATCAGGAACAAGATAAGGATGCCCACGTTTACCACTTCAACCCAGTATTGGAATTTCCAGCCAGAACAATCAGGCAAGAAAAATAGAGTATCTAAACTGGAAAGGAATAAGTAAAATGATCTTAGTCACAGATGACATGGTCTTTTTCAAAATTTATTTTATTGAAGTACAGCTGACATATAACGGTGTGTTAATTTCTGCTGTACCACCGTAATTTAGTTATCAGATGATAGAATCTGCCTATAATGTGGGAGACCTAGGTTCGATTCCTGGGTTGGGAAGATCCCCTGGAGGAGGGCATGGCAACCCACTCCAGTATTCTTGCCTGGAGAATCCCCATGGTCAGAGGAGCCTGGTGGGCTACAGTCCATGGGGTTGCAGAGTCAGACACAACAGCAACTAAGCACACAGCACATACATATATTGGGTTGACCAAAAAGTTCGTTCAAACGTTTCTGTAACATCTTATGGAAAAACCCAAATGACCTTTTTGGCCAACCCAATATATACATTTTTTTTTTCATATTCTTTTCCATTACTTATGGTTTACCACAGGATATTGAACATAGTTCCTTGTGTTTTACAGTAGGACTCTTGTTGTCTGTCCACTCTATATAATAGTTTGCAACAGATGACATGATCTTATATACAGAAAATTTAAAGGTTCAACAAAAGAACTGATAGAATACACAAACTCAGCAAGGTGGCAGGATAAAAAAATCTACACAAAATCAGTTGTGTTTTTATATTCTAACAATTAACAAGTCAAAATGGAAATAGAGAAAAGGTTTTTATTTACTATAACATCAAAAAGAATAAAATACTTAGGAATTAACTCAAAGGAAGCAAAAGATTAATACACTGAAAACTACAAACACTGTATAAAGAAGACGAAGGTAAATGGAAAAACATCAAATATTTATAGATTATAAGATTTAATAAGATGTCAATACTACCCAAAGTGATCTAGAGATTAAATGCAGGCCCCATGAAAATTCCAATGCCATTTTGGGGCAGAAATAGAAAAACTCGTGTTAAAATCTATATGAAATCTCAAGGGACCCTGAAAAGTCAAAATAATTTTGAAAAAGAGGAACAAAGTTGGAATACTCATACTTCCCGATTTCAAAACTTATACAAAGTTACAGTATGGAAGCATCATGGTACCGGCATAAAGGTACATATAGACCAACGGAACAGAATAGGAAGTCTGAAAACAAACCTTCGCATATGAGGGTAAGTGATTTTCGACAAGGGTGCCAAGACCATTCAGTGGGGAAAAGATAGTCTTTTCAACAAATAGTGCTGGGAAAACTGGATATGCAGGTGCAAAAAAAAAAAAAAGAAGAAGCAGCTGGACCCTTCATGTGTGTAACACCATACACAAAATTTAACTCAAAATGAATATATGACTTAAACAAAAGACCTAAAACTATAAAATTCTTAGAAGAAAATATAGGACAAAAGCCTCATGACTTAGGATTTACCATTGATTTCTGGAATAGAATACCAAAAACATAGGAAACAAAGGAAAAAATAGACAAATAATTGTATTTCATCAAGATTAAAAGCTTCTGGGAGAATTCCTGGCAGTCCAGTGGTTAGGACTTGGCACTCTCACTACTGGGGCCTGGGTTCAATCCCTGGTTGGGGAACTAAGACTCCACAAGCTGAGCAGTGTGGCCAAAATAAACAAATAAAATCTTCTGTATGTCAAAGATGACGTCAGCAGAATATAAAGGTAAGACTAGGAAAAAATTTTCTAATTATGTATCTGATAAAGGGTTAATATCCAAAATATATTCCTATAACTCAACAATAAGAAAAAAACAATTTAATTAAAAAATGGGCAAAGGACTTGAACAGATATTTCTCTATAGAAGGTATATCAGTGGACTCTAATAAGCACATGAAAAGATGCTCAACATGTTAGGAAATAAAAATCCAAACCACAATATTCTATTTCACATTTGTTATTATGGCTAACAAACATACGTGCGTGTGTGTGTGTTTTAATTATATATAGAGAGAGACGGAAAGAAACAAATGTTGGCAAGGATATGAAGAAACTGGAACTCTTCTGAACTGCACTGGTGATCATGCACCAGCTAGGAGAAAGAAAGCTCTGACTCAGTCTCTTTCAAAATCTCTGCTAATGCTTGAAACGTCAAAAATTCCAGTGTTCACTTGCCACCCCCATCATTCCAGTTTGGCTTTGAATGTAGCCACTTTACATGCCAACCTAAACACCACTGTCATTCTCCCCTAAACAGACAGATGGAGTCTGTTGAGCAGGTTGAATATGTC